AAAGTACTAACTGCTACTCTTCTACATAACTGGAGACTCTTCTACATTTCCTAAGCAATGACAACTGGCTTGCATCTTGCAGTCACTGTGACTGATCTGACTTGTATATTTTCCCCCAGTGATAAAATGGAAATTATTTTATACATACTCCAAATGGAGAGTATAAAATCAAAACAAAGTAAAAAAATAAAAGGTTATAAATATATCTAAGTGACACATAGAGTGCACTGAATTTGAGAGCATCGTGAGAATCTACAGGATTTCCTTTGTTGTTGTTGTTGTTGTTTGAGACAGGGTCTCACTATGTAGTTGAGATTGACCTGGAACTCACTATGTAGTCCAGGCTGGTCTCAAACTCAGAGTGATCCACCTGCCTCAGCCTCCCAAGTGCTGGGATTACAAGTGTGCACCACCATGCCTGGCTTGCCAAGTGGTTTAAACAATGCCTGCTCACCTCTGGATTGCATAATATGGTTGACATGGTAAAGCACAGAGGTAAGCCTAATTTAGCATGATCACCTTTGGCTTACTTAATGTATACACAAAACAGGAAGAGGAAAATGCAAGAGATAAGTAGCCCTAATTTATACATTTCCCTTCTACGAAAGATCAGTAGTGTTCTGTTTTATTGGATTTTTAGAAATTTTTTGAGACAGGGTCTTATGTAGTCTAGGCTGGCCTTGGACTTGTGACAATCCTGCCTCAGTCTCCTGAGTGCTGGCATTATAGTCATTTGCCACAACATCCAGCTTTTTTGGTTTTTTGAGACAAAAAAACTCAGTATATAGGTAGTTCAGGCTGGCCTTGAAATCACTATGTAGTCCAGGCTGGCTTTGGACTTGTGACAATCCTCCTGCCTCAGCTTTGCCAGAGCTGGGATTACAGGTGTTTGCCACCACACCCAGCCTCCAATTTCTACAATTACTATGTGCCACACAATTCCAAAGTGTACAAAATTCAAGTCTCTGCCCTCATTAATAATCAAGTGAGGAAACATATTCTATTGTTAGAAGGTAATAAGTACAGTTGGCCTCCTATATTCAGGATTCTGCATCCGAACTCAATACAGAGAGGTGATAAGGCCAGTGATGAGTAACAAGACACTAAATCACATGGAGCCTCTCTGGGAGGAACCAAACTTTACCTTTGGAGAGCAGTTTCCGAAATTTCTGTGTGGTTGCTAACTGTAAGTCAGAATCATCAGAAAAGAGCATCTCCACCATCTCTCTTGTGATCACACTCTCCTAGAATATAAAACAGGTTTAGAACTTTGAAAACCAACATTATAGCCAGATGTGAGCATATTATCCTGCTTTCTAAGACTTTAGGGTAAGAGGAAGGCCTAAGAAACAGGCTCAGAAGGATTTAATCCATGCTTGTGTCAAGTTCAGACATTCAACAGTGATTCCTAATCTCTGACAGAACTATTACTTCCTCAAATGCTTCTCTGGATCTTTGAGCTGACCATTTACAAAAGGACCCATGAAAGAAAGAGCTTAACATTACTGGCAAAGCTACTAGATGATACGAACCATCCAATTTGTTCTGTAGAAGCAGGTATGCTCCAGGCCTGCCTCAGGCACATGCAAGGGCCTTACCCCAGTAGTAGAGCTCACGTAAGAGTCCATGAGGAGACTATCAAACATGGCAGCTTCTTCATTAATCAGTTCCACATTTCTTCTTTTAAAAAGCTGAAAGTAAAATGAAGAGACAATGAGAGGACTACTCACTGAACCAAAGAAAACAAAGAAACCAGTGCTAATTATGGCTGAACAGAAAAGGATATGCTAGGCAATGGTGGTGAACCTATGGCATGTGTGCCACAGTGGGCTGTATCATTGAAAACTCTAAAAGTTTCACCATTACTGTGCTAGGGCAACTGAGAAAAGAAGGCTAAGCTTCCTAATACTGACACAGCAAGTCATTCAATGGCTTTACTTTCTATGTTATCTGATTTTTCTAATCTTTTAAAAGAACATTTTTTTATAAGGGAAAAACTTTAAAAAACATCTTTATCTATTGTGTAAAAAAATTATGGGTAAGGCGGCTCTGAAAGACTGATGGTAAGGGCCAGGGATTTAGTTCAGTGGCACCATGCTCGCCTTACAAGTGCAAGGTCCCGAGTTTGATCCCTGGTACAAAAATGGAATATCAAGAGGACAGGCAAAACCAAAATGGGTGATGGAGTCTATACATGAGCTGTATCAATCTGGGAAAGGGTAAGAGGTGGGAGTGCAGGTGGTGTCACACTAGTATAGTCTCAGTCCTAGGAACACCTGCAAAGCACAGACTTTAAAACAAAACAAAACAAAAAAAAAGGCAACCCAGAATGGCTAATAAGCATCCTAAATGACCAGATCTGGAGCTGAAATCTTGAAAGCCAGATCTAATACTTACAGCAATGTGATGAAGGCAAAGACGAAAAGAGCTAGAAGTACTATATATCATTATATTAAAGGGTATAAATGATGTCTGAGTTGGTCTAATTTATGGAAAGGGGAGCTTTCTTAAAGCTTCCAACATTTCTTAAAAGGAAACTAGATGGCTGGCCCACTGAGTGGACTAATGGTCAACTTGTAACGCCCAGCTGAACTGAATCAACATGGTCTGGGTATGGAGGAGCCACCTGAAGATTATTACCAATAGCCATAAAAAGAGAACTGGGGGGGAAGATCTTGGCCTCTTGATTTTCTAGAAGCTTGCTGCAGATGATTTTCTTTCTTTTTTTTTTCTCTCATTGAGTTTATTAGTACATTTTAGGTATACAGAACAGTTACATTCATTATTGGGGTGGATGATTTTCTTGAGGCAAACTAGGCTGTTCTTGTTGGAGGAGGAGCTTGGGGCCTCACTATTAGCTGGGAATGGTTGCTATTTCCATCAGGGGAGCTCTGATCTTTACTGTATCAGTTCCTGGCTCCAATGTGGATCTCTCAGCTTGGTGGTACAAATCTTTCATCTCACCAGCATACATTTTCTGGCTTCCACTACTGGCCTTTGGGCGTTCCAGGTACAGATCCTTAATAAGGACAAGCACAAACATGAGACATTGTTGTGGACTCTAAGCCTTTAGCTGGACTTGTGTGGGAAACTGCTGGGATCCAAGACCTCAGATGGATTCTTTGGGCCCCTAGTGTACAGTTAATCTCTCTTGCACTTCTTTGCATTTGACTCTTAATTATCATAAAATAACCCTATAAACTATGTGTCCTGTATTTAATGTAATCCCTTACCAAAACCTGACTACAACACTAAGTAATTATGCTAAATTTTTCTTTCTTTCTTTCTTTTTTTTTTTTTTTGGTTTTTTTTTTGAGACAGGGTCTCACTATGTAGTTGAGACTGATCTGGAACTCACGATGTAGCCCAGGCTGATCTGAACTCACAGCGATCCTCCTGCCTCAGCCTCCCCAGTGCTGGGATTATAGGTGTGAGCCACCACGCCCGGCTAAGCTAAATTTTCTTAAGGGGAATGTCAGTGAGCAAGGTAAAAGCCAACAATGGAGGCTGGATCGTCTCCCTGAATGTATGTTTTGAGAATACTCATCAACTCACTTGTTGCTCCCTTTTCTGCTTTCGGAGCTGAATGCCCTCTTCCTCTCTTCTTCGCCTCATTTCTTCAGGGTTTAGGGCATTGTTCTTATAGCTCTTCATTCGATAATTATCTTTCCCCGGGCTTGCCATGGTCTCTAGAAGGCAAGATACAAATAAACTGTCAAAGACAAAGGCAGCACTTTCTTTTCACTGTTCCCCATCCTTCCCCTATACCAGGTGGACCACAGGTTCTCTAGGAGGCTTACTAATTCCTTAACTGCACCTGATGCTTCCTTTCATAACTTCAGCCCAATACACTTGAGTTGGTGAGTCGTTAATAATGAAGCTATTAAAAATGGTTTAAAAAAAGCTGTTGAACGTGATCTAATTCTTTTCTGAAACTTTTAAAAAAAAAATTAAATTAAATTTCTTTTGCTGTACCAGGGATTGAACTCAGGACCTTGTGCTTGCCAGTCAGGTGTGGTACCACTGAGCTGTATCCCAGCCTCTGCAACTATCGATATCTAGTTTTTCTGCTTAAATGCATAATGAATGACTAAATCTGAAGATTTTTTTTTTTTGTACCGGGGATTGAACTCAGGACCCTGTGCTTGCGAGGCAGATGGGAGAACCACTGAGCTAAATCCCAGGCCCTGAAGATTTTATAATAGAAAATCACTCCTGGAGTCCTAGGATAAGTCAAATTTAGGATGAATTATATATTTTTGTATATTGTTGGGTATGTTTCTTAATATTATGATTAGAGTAATATTATGATTAGAACTTTTGTAATCTTGTTCGGTAACTAGAATAGGACTTTCTCATCCTTCTTTGATTATGAAAAGTTTTTCTTTTTTAATTTTTTTGAAGAAGTAAAATAATGTACATATTAAAAATGTGATGGGAAGGGGAGGAGGGGGTGAAGGGAGGGCAGGGGTAAGGGGAAAAAATGAGAATCAAGACTTGTCATGTAGAGGTACAAGATTCCAACAATGAATGTAACTGTACTGTATCCCTAAAATGTACCAATAAACTCAATTAAAGCTAAAAAAAAAATGTGATAGCCAGGTGTGGTGGCAATGCCAGCACTTGGTAGGCTGAGGCAGGAGGATTGCCATGAGTTCAAGGCCAGTCTGTGCTACATAGTGATCCAAGCCCAGATTGAACCTCAGAGTGAAATCCTGTTTCAAAAAAGAAAAAGAAAAAGAAAAAAAATGGCTGGTGCACGTAACTCAGTTCAATCCCGAGTATGGGAGTGGTAGAATTAATCTGTTAAACCATTTAGGGCTGATAATATTTTTTCTTTGATTTTTCTATTTTTTTTTGGGGGTAGTACTTAGGGTCGAACCCACAGTATATAGGACAATCCCAGCCTGTTTTATTAAATTTTGAGACAAGTTCTCACGAAATTGCCCATGTTGGCCTCAAAGTTGTAATCCTTGTGTCTCAGCCTCCCAAGGATTACAGGGATAGGCCACCATGTCTGGCAGGGCAGGTATTTCCTTTATGGGAATATTCTTTACTACTGATTCAATATATTTAATGGTTATAAAGCTAGCCAATCTTCTTGAATATTAGTAAATTATGTTATCCTAGGAATGTCTTTTGTTTTCAAATGTATTAGCATAAATTATTCATATTCTTTTTCTAGACAGCGTCTCACAACACCCCATAAAGGCCTTGAACTCCTGGGCTCAAATGATCCTCCAGCCTCAGCCTCTCTACCTTCAGCCTATAGTTCTCAGTAGCTGGAACTATAGTTGAGTATCACTGCATCTGGTCTGTCCATGTTCTTTTTTTTTTTGGTGGTACTGTGGATTGAACCCAGGTCTTGGCACTGAGCTACATAATCAGTCCTATTCATTTTGAGACGAATCTCACTAAGTTCCCCATGTTGGACTTGAAATTGCAATCATTTGGCCTCAGCCTCCTAGAGTACTAGGATCAAAGGTATGCTCCACTGCATCTAGCTCTGTTCATGTTGTTTAAAAAATCAGTTTATCTGTGTTTGTTTTTTCATTCCTAGTTTTTACTGTTTTTTGTTTTGTTTTGGTTTGGTTTGGTTTTTGGTACCGGGGCTCAAACTCAGGTCCTTGCACTTGCGAGACAGTCGCCAGAACCACTGAGCTAAATTCTTGGCCTCCTAGTTTTTTATCTGTGTCTTATTTAAGAATTTTCATAGATTTGTCAATTATTACTTTAATATTTTGCCAACTTTTGGCTTTAATTCTCCACCTGTGTGATTTCTATGTACTTTGTACTTCTTGTCTTTTTCTAACTAAAATCTTGTTTGTAATGCACTAACGTTTACATTGTACTTCTGTAATACCTAAGGCTTTGTATGTTTCCTTCAAATTAAAATCACTATAATCAAATTCTGAATATCTAATTTCCATTTATTTTATTAATTTTTTTCTTTTCTTTCTTTCCTTTTTTTGGGAGGGGGCTCTTTTGCTTGTGAGGCAGGTGGTGGAACCAATACCCCCCCCATCTTTTTGAGGCAGTGTCTCACTATGTAGTTTAGACTGGCCTTGAAATTGTGGTGATCATCTTACCTCACCCTCCCCAGTGCTGGGATTACAGGCATTGGCCATCATGCTTGGCTTCATTTTCATACATTTTAAGAAAATCATGAGTGGTTTAAAAAATTAGTAATGTTTAAGGACTCTGTTATTTATTTGGTTTTTTTGTTTGTTTGTTTGTTTTTGGTACTGGGGATAGAACTTGGGTCCTTGGGCTTGCAAGGCAGGCGGCAGAACCACTGAGCTAAATCCCCGGCCCTCTGTTATTTATTTCTAATAAAATACACCATAGTCAGGAGTCCTGGATGTGTGGTGGCACATGCCTATAATCACAGCACTTGGGGGAGAGGCTGAGGTAGGAAGACTGCTGTGAGTTCAAGACCAGCCTGGACTACACCATCTCAAAGAAAAAAAAAAAAAAAAGAGTTCTGGATGAGTGTGTTTGTGGGTCCTACCCCCATCCTGTTGGTTTTCTGACATACGGTCTTGTTATATAGTCCAAGCCAGCTTTGAACATGCTATGTAGCCAAGGCTGACCTGCTCCTCCTGCCTCAATCTCTAGTGCTGCAATTATAAATAAATACCACTATGCTCAGCCCTGGACAGTCTTTAATTTTTTAAGAGTTGCTTTTTTTGCTTATTATTGATTCAATGCATGCATGAGAAGAATCTGTATTCTATAATTCAGAGTGCTATATATCATAGGTCCATTAAATCAAGTTGCTGATGTCACTGTTCAACTCTTCTGCTTTACTTTTTCTTTTTTCTTTTTGGTACCAGGGATCAAACTCAGGTCCTTGTGCTTGCGAGGCAGGCAGCGGAACCAGTGAGCTAAATCCCTGGTCCTACTTTTTCTTACTTTATCAATATTGAATATATACAATTCAACCTTGAAGTTTTATTTTGATATATTTTGTTTGTTTTTGACAATATCTCATATGTAGCTGACGATGGCCTTGAACTCAGTGATCCTCCTGCTTCAGCCTCTGCAGAACTGAGATTACAGGCATGCACAGATACTTTATATATTTTTAACACTATTTCATTAGGGATATACACATTAGAACTGCAGTCTCTTGCTGGTAAATTGAAGTTTATTTGGCAGTACTGGGGATGAAACTCAGGACCCTGCGCTTGCAAGGCAGGTGCAGCACCACCAAGCTAAATTCCCAGCCCAGAACAGTTTATTAATGTAAAATGTGTTAGCCAGGTATGGTAGCACAACCAGGGCTACATAGTGAGCTCAAGGCTGGCCTGAAATGCATAGCTATGCCCTGTCTTAAAAAGAAAAAAGTGAGTCAAGTTATTCTTTAGCAATGCTTTGTCTAATTTTGTTGGATATTAACATGGCTATCCCTTCCGTTTCTAGCCATGATGGAATAACAAATTTACTCTGCTATTGTAAACTGTTTCAGACACTGGACAAAAATGAAGCAGACCTGAGATCCCAGGAGAAACAACTGAAGTGAGCCCTACTTATTTCATTGGCCTGGAGGAACATTCTAGTACAGGGAATGGGGTACAGTGAGGCACATTTCTAGTTCAGGGAATGTGGTACTATACAAAGCATAGAAATCTTACAGGTTGGAGATGGAGACTAGAGAGTTTAAGGAGATTGAAGGAGCTATGAACTGTGAGGAAGAATTCCAAAGAGGGAGATATACAGAAAAAGAGGTGCTCACGGCCCTAGTTGAGTACTACCAACAACAATAATAAAAAAGACTTTGGAAAATCTGCTTGGGATTCCCTAATTCTTTGCTGAAGATTAAGGATGAGATGCACCTGTTCAGGGTGAAGCTCCACAAGTCAGGCAAAGGGCAACTGGAAAACTTTAAATTAAACTGTTTCTAAAGCTCACATAGGGTGAGGGAGACTTTTGTTGAATCAGAATGAAGATTCCTTACTGATTTTGTGGGCATTAAGAGAGACTATAGAGCAGCCATCGCTCAAGCGCTGGGAGGTAGGCCGGGCCCCGATCCATCGCGGGAAGGAGAACCACGCCTGCTCCCGACCCAGACGCCATCGTTCAAGCGCCAGGAAGGTAACTGTGCGGGCGCCCCTGAACCTCCATAAGCCCCCCCCGTCACTCTCAGACCTCCTGACTGTGCAAGTCTTTGGACCCACTCTGCAAAGTCAGAGGTGGTCATCAAGGGTATTTTTCTGAATCCCCAACTTTGAACATCTTTAAAGAAAGGGCAGGGGAAACCTGTAATAGAACGTTGCGGAGTTCAACCATTCAGAAGGATGGGGAACTCAATCTGGGCCTTGCAGCCCGAGGTCAGTCAGCGTCATGGGGTTCAGCAATCAGCTAACTGAGATCAGGGGTCTTCCATCCTCGCTCTGTCTGAGCCATTAAATGGTTAATATACTATATTGAAAAGTTTGTTCCCTGCAGACATGTTCTGGACTGCTTCTTGATTTCAATTTAATTCAAATGATTTAAGGGTGATAGACTAGTGACTACCACAGGAGGTCAGTGTCCAAGTTGTGCTTGATCTTAATGTGTTGCTGATTGTATCAGTTGGGGTAAAGCATTGCCGTTGATTTGATGAGCTGTTTTCTCTGATGTTATGAAGATGAGAATGTCCGTGGGTCATTACAGGCACAGAAGCTAGGGTGCAACTATATCAGGA